ACTAGGCATATAATTCTAGCTCAAGATACACAGGCTTTTTATCATTATAATTGGAATCTCTGGGTGGCACAATGGTTAAATACTTGACTGCTAACCAATGGCTGGCAGTTTGAACCTATCCATGAGGTGCCTTGGAAGAAAGACCTGGTGATCTGCTTGCAAAAGGTCACAGCCTTCAAAACTCTACTCTGCACAGTTCTACTCTGACATACATAGGGTCATCATGAGTCAGAAATAACTGGGTAAGAACACCCCAAATAAATGTAGGGCTCCCAACAAAGATGGTGGCTCTATAAAATCTGAGACCAAAAATTCCACTCTGAATCAAAAGTAACTTCTGAATCAAGAAATACAGCCTGTAATTTCTGTGATTCCCTACTGTATCCTGAGAAAATTATTAAATGAGTTTAGAGAAGAATGTGAGTTTATTCACTTAATAGTTTTGCTTGCTTAACAATACACCCTGTTCACGAAGGACACAGGGAAGATTTAACTATGGGGGAAGTGGGAGGGGAGCTGTTTCATTATGGGAAATTACAGTCAATGTCATGAGACAAAGTATGTATGAGCTGCTGTATAGAAAGTGCCATTTGCTCTGTACACTTTCACCCAAATCACAATTAAAAAAAAAAAAAAAAAAAGAATACATCCTGTTCAGGGAGTGTGCCCATAACCATGTATAAGGTTGGCAGACAAAGTTTCTACAAGTGTATTTCTATGTTCTGTAAGAATTTATGGCTATATAATAGAGCTAACGAGGGACAAGGTTGTAGTCACTTCTTGGCCACAGCCAGCTACCCAGAGGGAGCAAGCAGTTGGACCTGTGGGCTCAGGACCATGGTCCCAGGGGACATCTAGCTCAACTGGCATAACATACTATACAAAAACATTGTTCCACATCCTACTTTGGCGAGTACTGACTGGGATCTTAAAAGCTTGCAAGCAGCCATCTAGATGCAACAAATGGGTCTCTCCTCGCCCAGAGCAAAGAAGAATGAAGAAAATGAAAGATGTGTGGAAACAATTAGTCCAAGGGATTGGTATACCACATGATCCTCAACTATGAGACCAGAAGAACTAGATGGCACCTGGCTACCACTGTCAACCACTAGGAGGGGGATCTATGTAGGAGATTCTGGATAGAGAGGGAGAACAATGTGGAACAAAACTCAAAATCATTAAAAAAAAAAGGGACCAGGTTTGCTGGTCTGATAGAGCCTGGTGGAACCTCTGAGACTATGGCCCCTAGCTGCCCTTCAAGTCTGGAATAGAACCCATTCCTGTAGCTTCCAGCCAAACAAAAGACAGGCATATGAGCTCAACATTCACACTAGGTAGATACACTCCTTGGAAAGATCAATCATGGGATAACAGAAGAGCTGTGTATGCACAGGGAGACAGCTCATGGGGTGGGAGTGCACAGGAGAGAGGGACACAGGAAAGAGGTAACTATGGGGAGGGAGTGGGAAGAGAGCTGCTGCATTGTGGGAAATTGCAGTCAATGTCATGAGACAAAATGTATGTGAGCTGCTGTATGGAAAATAAATTTTGCTCTGTGAACTTTCACCCAAATCACAATAAAAATAATAATAATAAAAAATATTGGCTTAAAACACACCCTACACTAATATGCCTCATTTTAAAACAAAAGAGTACACCTTGTTCAGGAAAACTGGGTTTAAAACAATAGATTCTTACTCAAAATAAACCTTAGGCATGTCCTTCCTGCAGTCATGCAAGGGGGGTTTCATGACTGTTTTGAGGCCAGATGCACCCAATTTTGTAACAATTACCTAAAAGTCAGTCAATCACTGAATTTTTACTGACGTTCCTTGTATTCTCTTACCAATCAGATGTATCTCACCCAATTTTGTGACTGCTACCTAAATCATCCAATTACTGAATTTTTATTGAACTTCCTTGTATTTTCTTACAAAAAGTCCCTGAATTGTCTCCTCCTTGGATCACTTAGTTTGGAATCCTCTGGATCTTGTGATTCCCATTGCCTTGCCTCTCAATAAAAGCTCTTTACTTTTAATTTTAACCACACTCTTTTGTTTTTGCCTGACAACACAACTCAATGGCAACTGGTTGTTTTTGTTTTGTTTTTTTTAATCATTACAATCCAGGTTTTAGAGAGTTCCACTGGAATAAAAAAAAAAAAAAAAGGAATGCACAGGAAAGACCTTCAGCTGTAATTCTATTATTTGGTACATCATAGTCTGAGCAATAGCTACATTTTTGAGTGAAAAATTAAATCTTCAGAAGAACAGTGACCAACACTCATGACCACATCATTCTCTAGTGAGAGACATGAGAACAAATGAAGATCCTACAAGTCATCACCACAAAATTATCTTTTACTAACAAAACCAAAGAACCCCAAACACTTTTTGTGAACATCAACTTTTTTTTTCCTTCAGATTTTAAAATGGCATTGTCCATGTACATTATATTTTTAAAATTTAGACACATTTTGGAGAACACAGTTGTGGACACAAGCAACTCCAAGAAATGAAGGTGAGATGTTCCAAAATCTGAATGCAAACACTTATCACTAGTACACTGGATTCTTTCAATCTTCTGTCCTTTGAAGGCCTGCTGTTTCTACTCTGCCTCCAGGCACTGAAAGCTTTAAGTATTGTCAAGCAGTAGTCCAGGATTAATAGACAAGAGAAGTAGGCTAATGTGAAATCCAAGGACTGCACATCTGGTTAATATCTTTGTTGTTGTTGTTATGTGCCGTCGAGTCGGCCCGACTCATAGCGACCCCTCCTTGGGTTTCCGAGGCAGTATCACTACGGAAGTAGGATTGCCCAACCTTCCTTCCGAGGAGTGGCTGGTGGGGTTATCTAGTGGATGAGTATGAAGGTGTCAACCCTGGGAGCTTTTTACAAACCTCTGTAAATAAAATTAACCTCCATTAACAGAAACCTGGCCTTCTGGAACAACTGTTTTGGGGTAATTTATTCCACAAGTATTTTATCATTACCTCAGCATATTTCTCTCAAAGCCTAGTAAGTATTTTTTCAAACATGCCAATGGAAAGACACACCTGACTATAGGCCAAGCTGAGCGTCGCCTGCTGGTCAGTAGCTGCTCAGCTAGAACCCGGTTCCATTAGCCACTGGCCATGAGGTGCTGCCTCTTGGCTAAAAGACAACTCCCCACTGGATCCCACTGAAAAATGGGACAGTTCCAGTAATGCTTTTAGCTTAAGTCACAATGATTGCTACTGGTGATGTGGGCAGGACCTCATTAGTAAGTTCTGTCCTCTGTTGTTTTGAGTTGTATTTGATGGAGAGTGGTTTTCTTTGAATGAGGTCTCCTGCCAACAGTTCCCCTCAGCCCATTCCTGACAGTATGTCCCTGCTGACGAAGAAGCCCACCACCAGGCTCAGGGGGTCAGTTAAAATACCATCAGGAGGACTGATACCCTCAGAAGTCATCAGTACAACTTGAAAGAGGATAATTATGACTTTAACAAGAGTGTGTAGTGAAGGGAGGCACCATTAAGAAATTAAAGGTCAAATGTTTAGTGTCAGCCCCACAAATAACAAGGCTCATCTATATGCTAAGAACTGCACAAGGCATGAAGGGCGGTTTTCTTCTAAATCAATATTCCCATTTCTCCTTAATGAAATGAGTAGAAAATAGGGCTGATAAAATGTTTTGTCAGTCCTCTGCAGACAAGAATTAGGCCATCAGAAAGCCCTATCCTGTCTTATGACACGAGCCTAAGCTCACTAAGTGAGAAGTTCTTGAAAGTCTTAGATCACCTGGTGGTACCATGACGACAAAAACCCTTCTAACCACTGGAATTTTCATGAATTATTGAGGGCATGCTAATCCAAACTAATGTCCCTATTTTTAAATAAAAAATGTCAAATAATATAGTAATTTATTTTGATCAGGACATTGTTTCCCATATGTATAACTGCAGACTAGTTAGTACCTTTATGCTAATACATTTCATCAAATGTAAGATTTTATCACCAAAATAGGGGACAAAAGAACTAAGAACTATATTCATCCCACTTATTTCAAATATTTGGTAAACTGATTGCAGGGATATGGGTCCAGTTTAGTATCTTTGTTTAAGAGCCATATGAAATGGTACCTATTGCTCTATAACAATTAGTTACAATGTTGGTAAAATTGAAGTGGCATCAGTTTTAATTATGCATAGCTGGGAAAATGTTCTAGAACTGCCAATGCTTAGTCGTTGCTACTTGTTATTTAAGGAGGTCATTACAAAGCTTCCCTTGAATACTACCCTTGACTTTATAAAGTCCCCTTGCCAGAATACTAACTGCCTTGGACTGCAACGAGTCTTTTGAGATTTACACCAAGTGCCTGAAACTTCTGTGGAAAATGTGGAGCCCTCATTGAGCTGCAGTGCATCCCCTGTGGGTTCTTAAAAACACTAAGGTGGGCACAAGACAGAAGAGAAAGCGCTCAGCTACTTTGTAGAAAGGCTTATGCCCTCAAAGCAACACAGCCTCTTCTTCCCTGCTCTGTTTCTTCTCTACTTTTGGAGTGGTGCTCATGGAAAATGCTGAAAAGTACGATCCCAGAGGTCTCACCTTAGGTCATCTATCTGATAGACACAAAGAAAGTCATTGCCTGACTGTTCCCTGTTTATAAGTTATGTACAGAAGAGCGGCTGCTGTGGACACTCATGCATGATTGGCTCTGGACTCATGGAAAGAGAAGGGCTTTCTGGTTGGAACAACTTATGCCTACAGACAACACCAAAAACATGCAAACACTACCAAGAGTCTGGATATGAAGAATTCATATTTTACACCAGTGAGGCAAATGCCGTTACAACACGCTGACAGATAGCTTCTTCACTCATGCTCTAACTGCAGGGTCTTTGAAAAAAAGGGGGCTTGTCAAGGTGTTTGCTGCTTGTTGTTGCTGCACTCTTTCAGGAGTCATAGTTGGTCTGTGTCAGGCACTAAGCAATCTGGTAACTTTAGGTCCAAATGGCTATTTTAGTTGTCTTTTTGCACCTTTTTATCCTTCTGTGAAGAGCCAAGTTCAAATGCTGGAAACTGTGAAGTCTCTGGTCCCAGGATGTCGGAGAGGAAGTGGATGGCACCAGCCATACCTGTAATGTCAAACAGGGATCTTTTTACTAAAGGGTACCAGGGTAGTGCCTGCAAAGTAACTTTTAATTATTTCCTTCCAGGGGCTATAAGGAGAAGGAAAGGTGCCGAAGTCTTTAAAAATTACTTTATCCAAAAAAACCCGAAAGTTTTCCACACTAGAAATTTTTACACTAACACCTAACAGGTAATGATACCAGCTTGCTTTTCTTCACTGGGTTATTTTATTATTTACAATGGACTTTAATTTTGAATCTTGGAATCTTTAGATGATTCTTACAGAACCTCTAACAAAAAAGTTACAGATACCAGTATTTCAAAATATAAAATTTCCCTTCTTCAGAGCCTTTATATTTGTATTCCACATAAAAAGTTACATTTTATATCTTCCTTAGGTTTAAAAACCATTATTTTCATGAAAACATTATTTGCTTTGGGGAAATCTAAACTGTACTCAAAGGGGCTTCGGAAGAGTGGAGACAGCTCCAGGGCTCCAGGCCCCACAGATCCTTCTTAACTGAGAACAATTCCTGTCTCACAGGGTTTCCTTTGGTTACAGTTTTTCTTTTGATGTAAAATTCACATATGATGAAACTCAAATCTCAAGTGTACTTTTAGTATACACCTGCATCAAACTCCTCCCAAATATAGAATATTTCATTATCCTAGGATGGTCCTTTGTGTCCTTTTCCAGTGAATCCCAGCTTCCTCATCTCCCTGTGGCAACCACTATTCTGATTTCATTCCATTGACGATTCCTTTACTGTTGCACAGCTTCATATAAATGGAACCATAAAATATACAGCCTTTTATGCCTCTTATCTTTCACTCAGAAAACATGTTTGAGACACTCATGTTTTGTGCGTACTGGTAGTTGGTTCCTTTTTATTGCTGAGTAGACCACAGTTTGTTTCTGCGGTGTAGTAAATTACTTAGTGTGGCTTTTCTACCCATAAGTCTTTGTAAACTCCAAGGTAGGATTTTCTATGAGCAACTGAGGAGCTCCTGATTGCTGAAGTTGTCCACCTGGAGTATTTCTGTTGGGCGTGGCACAATACAATGTTCTGGGAGGTGCCCACTCTCTCTCAGGTGCTTAGAGTTCTGATGCTATGATTGGCTAGTTTGACCACCCTGCCGGGCTCAAAAGGAGGCCTCCTGGAGGCAGAACTCTCTCGGACTGCTGGTTGAGGAAGACGTGCTGCCGAAAGAGACACGAGCCCCTGAAAGAGACACGAACCCCTGAAAGAGACACGTGCTGCTGGGAAAGAGACGCAAGAGACAGGCATTGCTGAGTGAGACTGAGGGACGAGCACTGCTGGGAAAGAGACTGTGAGAGACTGTTGGCTGAGGGACAGTGGGCTGGGAGAGAGACTGAGCATTCTTCCTGAATGTAGGAAGCCTGGTGCTTCCCTAATAAACCCCATAATCTGTGAGCTCTGTGTGGCCACTGCAGCAAATTATCGAACCCAGGAGAGAGGTGGTGGGTGCTTTGGGAGGAATGGTTGGAGAAAGGGCTGGAGGGAGGCAGCATGTCTGGCCTGGCAGGAATAGGCCTTGGGTTACTGCTGGTAATCCTGTCTTCCTCTTGTGGGATTAGAGGAGGTCAGAACATGTGGCCTCCTTGCTGTTTTGCAGTTTCCCCTTTCTCCTAATGGTTATTCCTAGCCTTCCTTAGAAATATTTGTTTGAAGGAAGGGCTCTAGAGGTTGAAAGTCTGAAAACCACTGAACTATTAGAATCCCTAAAGCGGGGGAGGAGGTAGTGGCCCATAAAACCCTCAGGGGGGAACCCAGAGCACATGGTCATGGTGAAAAGACCTCTGTCCTCAAGTCTTGGTGGGGCAGGGAACAGACTCAACTGAAGGAAGCACTTGCTCAGGAATAAGTATCTCCAGAAGAGGTCAGTGGCCTTTCCAGCCTGGTGGTGACCACACAGGCACTCCTTCACTGATCCCTCCACCTATCCAACAGAAATTCAGTTAGTACCTGCTTCTAATTCTGTCTTCCAAGTTCTTTTGAAGCATAAGGGGAGAACATGAGTCTGGTAAGTTCTCAGCCTTTAGGGAGTTATAGTTTCATAGATTTTTGACATACTAGGGCTTTGAAGTTGCTATTATAAACTTGAATAAATTCCACTTAGAAGTTCAGGTATTAAGTCTGTTATATTTGATGCATATAAATGGCTGTCCTTTCAGCAGTTGCATGACACAAGGGACTAAAAGTCTAAGAAATACTTTTTTTATGATTTTTTTTGAACATTTTAAAATGTTTTATTTTCTGCTCATTTTTCTATTATTTGATTTAAAATTACCAATGTTAGAAATAAAACAGGATATATCACTACAGATCATTCTGACATCAGGATAAAAAGGAATACTACAGCTGTGCAAACAAATTTGACATCACAGATGGAATGGAACAATTCCTCAAAAATTAGAAACCACCACCATTCACCCAATATAAAATAAATAACTTGAATAGGCTTATAACTATTAAAGAAATAGAATTTGTAATTTAAAACTCCCCAAACAGAAATCTCCAGGCCCAGGTTTCATTGGAGAATTCTACCAAACATTTATATTAGAATTAACACCAATTCTTCCACCAATTAATATGCAACCTGCTCCACAAAAAAGAAGTGGAAAGAAATACTTCTCAACACAGTTTGAGGCCTCTATTATGCTGATACCAAAACCAGTACAAAAAGAGAAACCTGCAGGCCAATACCCCTCACAAATACAGATGAAAAATTGTTAACAAAATATATGCAAGTAGAATTCTGCCAATATATAAAAATAATTAGTAGGTAGAGACAAGTATTGATTTGGGTGAAAGGAAAGGCAATTAAAATAATCATATCAATAAATAAATACCATGACCAAGTATGGTTTATTCCAGAAATGCAAGGCTGACTCAATATTAAAAAAACCAATGCAATCTACTATATTAACCTACTAAAGAAAAAAAAAAAATCACATGATCTTATCATTTGATGCATAAAAAGGATTTGACAAAACTCAATGCCTATCACCTATTTTCTTTTTTTTAATTTAAAAAAAGAAAAAAAAAATCAATCATTTATGCCTGCTGAAGTTTTTCTTGGGATTGGTATAAGATATGACTCTAAAGTAAATAAAAATTATCATCAATTTATCACAATGCTATTTAATCTTTACCTTGTGATTTCTGTGGCTTATGTTATGAATGATCTAATTCAAATACAGGCACACACACATACATATATAAAAATACAAAAATATTTGGGTTTCCTTATTGAATTTCTATTTCATTTTCCTAAAGTGTATTCTTCCTTTTGTGCCTGCAGCAGATTCTTTAATTATTGTAGCTTTTACCGATTTCCTGTCATTGCTCTTTTATAGAACTTTCTTCAATATTCTTGTTATTTTTTTTTAATTTCTAATACTATCTAATTGCTAATTAACTCATATTATATAATTTAAATAAATATATTTAAATAACTATTCAAGTTTCCACAAATAGATCAATATTATATATACAATATTATAGATGAAATAACAAGAAATAAATTTATTTCTTTCATTACTGAATAGCATTTTATGTTCTGTGTGTATATATATATGTTGTTATGTGTTGTTGTTATGTGCTGTCAAGTCGGCCCCGACTCATAGCGACCCCTCCTTGGGTTTCCGAGGCAGTATCACTACAGAAGTAGGATTGCCCAACCTTCCTTCCGAGGAGTGGCTGGTGGGTTTGAACCGCCAGTCTTCTGGTTAGCAGTTAAGTGCTTTAGCCACTATGCTACCAGAGCTCCATACACACACACACACACACACACATATACATACTTCATAAAAGTTCTAAAAATACTTGGAAGATATTCACAGGCACAAAAATTAGGTAAGGTATAGAGACTCAAGATAATTTTTAGCAATAAACTGATTTGTCAGCAATGACTTTTAACTTCGGAGGTAATTACTCAAGCATGACCAAATTTAATAGTGGCAGTCCAGAGAGAAAGAGAAGGGCCAATCCACTCATACAAATGTTTAATCTATAGTTTTTGCCTTCCTCTTACCTTCAAACAGAGAATAGGGTCTGTCAGGAATACGGCACCCATGTGCTCCATAGTCAAGACACCACTCTGCAAACTGAGAAGAGAGACATTTCTTTCTAAGAGAGAAGTTAGATTTTATGTGGTGAAAGTGAATGACACTGGAAGAAGTTTATAAGGACAAGTGACTTTAGAACTTATGTTCTTCGAAACTCACTCAACCCTTCTCAATGACCTTATGAGGTAGGAAGTACTGTTATCTCCATTTTATGTGTCTGTGACACAGAGACAGTAGGGACAAGGTTGAGCCATGAAGAGAAGAGAAGAGTTGGGAGAAGCAGGTTAAAAGGAGGAAGGGGAGTTCTGTAGACTTAGGAATGTTCAGAAGTTATTCGGATAAAGATGTCCTTACCTTGCAAGCTCTGTAGAGGTACTTTTTGTCCCGTGTGAGATGGTACAGAGAAAGGAAAGAGTAACCATTTCCGGCTGTCCCATGGCAGATGCCATAGCCCTTCCGTAGCAAGCCTCGCTGCCAGATCACGTCACTGCATTCCATGGCGTCCTTCAAGTACTTGTCCTCCTTAAACACCTGGGCAATGAGGAGTACAGCAGTACGGAAGGGATGTTTTAAAATCAGATTTACCCAAACACTTTCTCTTTCTGGTTAGAATAAATGCACAGGAAACGTGAAATGGCATTGAGGATTTGAAAGAAGCTACAACACCACACACAGCATCTCCAATCTCAATCTACCAGCCTATCCCTCCTTGGTCTCCTTCTATTACATGGTTTTGCCAGAGTAATTCTAAAATTTAGTTTTAAAAAATTAAAATTAAAACTGTAGCATCTCTTTGGTAAGATGTTCTGTCAAAAAGAAATCACTCTGTGTTTACTGGGACACACGTTCTGTTACTCTCAAGTTTCTGCTCACACAGAAGGCAGTTGAGGGCTGATTATGCACAATGTCTGGTCATTTAAAACAAGAGATATTTGATATCCAGGGTCAGCCCTATGTCACAGGACTCTGATGACCCTGCAGTCATCAGGGCCGCAGTGATTTACCATGATGCACCACAAGGAAATATGAACAAAGCTTTTTTGAATCCCAGGTGGCTGGTGTGCTTGTGTTGCAGAACTTAACGGTCCCATCTCCACTGAGCTGTTAACATGCTCAGCTTCAGAGGCATATAAGTTCAGTGCTCGGCTTATTTGTCCACCTGAGGCAGAAGGCAAATGATACAACTGTCAAGAGGAAGCATCTGTGTTCGCCTCTTCAGATTCTTTTAAGTTCTCCTGCTTTCTCTTTATGTTTCATTTGTTTTGTTTCTCTAGCCCTTGCTCAGAATCTGTTATTAGTAATTTTTGCCTGTTTATCTTACTCTATACAGTGCAAATGAGTTTTGAGCAATGAATTGGAGACAATAAAAGCCATTCATTAGAGATGATCTACTTGTGGGTGCAAATAGGTTTCATCTAATGGTGACTGATTATAGTGACCTACTAGGCCCTGTGTTGAGAAGGATTCTGAAATTAAAAAACAAATCAAAAGGTACAAGTATAATCAGTGTTCATAGTGGGTACGAGAAGAAGGAGGGAAAGCCTATTAGCATTTCGGTCACTATTCCTGATGTAAGATCTAATTACCAGTGAGATTAAATGTCTTTCCCAAGGTTAGGATGCCAGAGTCAAGATAGACCCCTTCTCTTGGTCATGAAAGCAGCCTATCTTGTGACTGAGACGTGACTTCTGGGGTCAACAAAGCCCAAAGTTGTGTCTATGGAAGATAACAAAATAGTAAACCCTTATCTAGACTTACCAAGAAAAAGAAAGAGAGGAAAATTTACTAGAATCAAGAATGAAAGAGAGTCTATTATTACAGGTCCTATGGACATTGAAAAGATAATAAAGAAATATTATGAGCACTGTTCTAATAAATTCAATGAAACAGGTGAAATAGAAAAAATGTATTGAAAAATACAACAACAAAATTAACAAAATATCTTTTTTTATTTTTTCACTTATATTGTGGTGAAAACATACACAAGACACTGATCAACACAGCAACTTCCACATTTATAACTCGGGGACATTGACGACATTTTTCATGTTGTGCCACCATTATTGCTATCCTTATCCAAAACATTTCACCACCATTAGCATAAACTCAATGCTCTGCAAACAAAAGCTTCCCCTTTCCCTCCTCCCTCCTAATCCTGGTAACTACTAATAATCTTTGGCATATATATAGGAGCTTTGGTGGTGTAGTGCCTAAGGCATTTGACTGTTTAAACCCACCAGCCACTCCTCAGAAGGAAGGATGCGCAATCTACTTCCACAGTGATACTTCCTCGGAAAACCAAGGTGGGGTCACTATGAGTCGGACCTGACTTGACAGCAGTTTTTTTTTTTTTGGTTTTACACACACACATATGTATAATTTTTTGTTTTAACCTATCTAGGAACAAAATGAATTCTATTGAAGAAACTGAACTTGCAATTTAAAATTTTTCCACAGAGAAAACTCCAGGTCCCAATGGTTTCACTAGTATATTTTAACAAACACTTAAGCAAGAAATAACACCAATGATACTTGAAGTCTTTCAGAAAATGTAAGAGGAAATACTTTCTACTTAATTGTATGTGAGGGAGCTCTGGTAGCATAGTGCCTAAGGCACTTGACTGCTAACCAGAAGGCTGGCAGTTCAAACCCATCAGCCACTCCTCAGAAGGAAGATGGGGCAATCTACTTCTGTGGTGATACTGCCTCAGAAACCCAAGGAGGGGTCGCTATGAGTTGAGTCTGACTCAACGGCACATAACAACAACAACAATTGTATGTGGCCAGCATAACCCTGATATTAAAGCCAAAGATGTTGTAAGAAAAGAAAATTACAAGCTAATAGAGATATAAAAGTTCTTAATAAAATAAAAGCCAGTAATAACAGAAAAACAATAAAAATTATGATCAACTGGGGCTTATCGCAGGAATGTAAAGTTGGCTTAACTTCCCCAAACCAATCAACGTAAATTCATCATATAAAGAAAATAAAGGAGAAAAGTCATAGAACCATTTCAGTAAGTGAAATTAAAAAAGGACAACATTCAACATCCATTCATAATAAATAAGAATAACAGGAAACTGGACTTCCATTAAGAAGGTGGAATAGAAAGACAAGCTATTGCAAACCATCTTCAACAAAGAAAAAAGAAACCAACTGACACAGATGCAGAAGGTAATCCAGGAGCTCTGATCTTTGAAAGGAAGGATACAAAAGTGGACTAAACATCAACTAGTAGAAGAACCTGAATGAAAACAGTGAATAAGGACACAAATGAAGCTGTGGCCTGTCAGCTATCCTGATGGCACAGACAGCCTAAATATTTCTAAGTGGAGTTAAGACCTGAGAATTAATCTAAAAATTGGCTCTGCTCATAAAGGGCAGCATGGATGACTGTGCCAGTGGCTGATGACTAAAAAGGGAAACAGCAAAGAAGGAGACAAATTGAGCTTGGACTTTCGGATGTTCAGAAGGCACAGCCATTTTGAATGTTCACAAGTGGTGGCCATTTTGGATATTTAAAGTGACAGCATTTTCCGTCAGATTCCAGGTACCTAATAAGAGGCTCTGCTTACCAAGGACAACAGAAACATATGAAAGGCTGATGACTGGAAAGGAGACAGGTGGTGAGGGCATAAATGCTGCCAACTAACAAAGAAAGGAGCACAGTATCCTGCTTACTCAGATAACATCCAAATAAAGCAAAGCAAATGAAAATCTTGGGTGAATCACTCCAACATACAATCACCAATTAAATATAAAAACAAACATGTCATAATGTCTCAGAAACAGACCATGACAGTCCACAAAAAGAAGCAAGATAAAGCAGGAGAAACAAGGAACCAGGATATAGACTCAGAACACATCCTTGAGGAAGAAGCAGCATTGGAACTCCCTGATAAGAAATTCAAAAGAATTATATTTAGGTACCTTCAAAGGATTGAGAGACAGATCAAGGAAAACACTGAAAAAATTGAGGAAAACATGGAGAAAATCCTAGAAAAATTCTGGAAGACAATACAAGAACAAAATGCCAAAATAAATGAAAAATTAGATACAGGCAAAGGAGTAGAATTGAATCAATGGAAGACAGTATTAGTGAATTTGAAGATAAATACCTCAATATGTCTTAGGAAAGGGATCAATCAGAAAAAAGATCAAAACAAAATGAAGAAAGTCTAAGGGTCATGTGAGATACCATCAAAATGAATTACCTATATGTAACTGGAATTCCAGAACAGGAAGAGAAAAATAGAAACCACTGAGAAAATTGTCAAAGATTTGTTGCAAGAAAAATTCCATGATATGATGAAACACAAGAATATATCCATTCAGGAAGTCCAAAGAACCCCCAACAGGATAGAGACCCCCAAAAATCATCAAGACATATCATCATCAAACTCATCAAAACCAAAAACAAAGAAAGAATCCTGTAAGCAGCACAGGAAAAACAAAAAGTTACCTACAAAAGACAACCAGTAAGACTGAGCTTGGATTTCTTGGCAGAAACCATGCAGGCAAGAAGGCAAGGGGATGGTACATATAAAACTCTGAAAGAGAAAAATTTCCAACCAAGGATTATATACCCAGCAATATTGTCCCTCAAATATGATGGTGAAATTAGTAGATTTCCAGATAAGCAGAAATTAAGGGAATTTGTTAAAACCAGACCAACCTTACAAGAGATGCTAAAGGGAGTCTTTTGGACAGAGAACCAACAATAGCAAACAATAAGTGACCATTAACACATGTGATGACATAACCCAGAAACCAACCCAGTTATGGCATTATCCAAAGAAAATAAGCTTATAAGATTGGAAACAGGGAACCAGAGACATCAATTGGCAAATGAGAACAATTACAAACCAAAAAGAGGGGAAAATAGTGTTGTTACAGAACTTCTAAATGGTGAGGTAGTCAAGACAATTGCAAGATAGAATGGACTGTTTTAAACTTGGGAAGAAAATTATACATCACGGGGTAACCTCAAAGAAAAATGGCAATCCTTCACTTCAAAAAAAGAGGAGAGGACAAGCACAGATATATATATATATTAAAATATGGAATGTTTTCACCAATTTGCGTGTCATCTTCAAGCACAAATATTTAGCAAATTAAAACAGTAGCAATGAGGGAAGTGAAAACTATTCATAAATTATATGGAACAAAGAAATCACCAACACCATGAAAAAACACATAACATAATGACTACAATTCACAGTTGTCAATAATTACACTGAATGTCAATGGACTAAATGTACCACTCAAGAGACACAGAGCTGCAGACTGGATAAGAAGACATAACCCATCAATATGTTCTCTGTAAGAGACACACCTTAGAGAGAAAGACAAAAATAGAGTAAAAATCAAAGGTTGGAAAAACATATATCAAGCAACCCGCAACCATAAAAGAGCAGGAGTGACAATATTAATTTCTGATAAAATTGACTTTAAGACAAAAACCACCATAAGACACAAGAAAGGACATTATATAATGATTAAAGGATCTATTGAACAAGAGTACATAACA